AATATTGCACTTTGTCTTTTTCTATAGCACTTTCATGATGATAATAGAAAAACAATTAACTGCTGACTTGATGTCTTGTTTTTTGATTAAATATCAGCTTGTCAGTGCGTGCTTCTTCGAGAGAATAGACCTTTCTGCTCATGGGTTCTACATTACACCTGATATTGGCTTTGACTGGAAATCTGGAAAAGGCAGTCCATTTAGGTACTTCACCTATGGTGCTGCATTTTCCGAAGTTGAAATTGACACATTGACAGGCGATTTCCATACTAGGAGAGCAGACGTTATCCTAGACCTTGGATTCTCCCTCAACCCAGCGATTGATATTGGACAGGTCATTGCTACCCTCTCTGTACTATTTACGTATAGATTTTGAATTTTTCAATTGTTTAGCTGGCATGCTTAATGGCATATTTTGAATAAATGAAATTTACAAGTAGACTATCAATTAGTAAATACTGAAGTAATTGATGATTGAAGGTCTGGTAAGTTGTCTTTTGACAGATCTTTCTACATGTAGATAATGTTTGCATTTCATTGTTTTGAATGGGGAGCAAGAAGGACGAATAGAATTCAGATTTATAAACTCCATCTCCATTTCCTTGAATTGAAGTTAGCTAATTGTTTTGTATTGAACTCAATAGGGCACACTCCAAATGTTCTTCTTTTTGTTTATTTTTCTTATTCTAAATATTCACATATTTACAAGGATGACCTGCATGCATATATTATGTCTATTGCCATTACTTCTAATTGTCTAAATTCTGGAAGAGATAGAAACACTACCACATTTGGAGATGGGCTGGATCTCGCATCTTTCGATCTGAAATGAACCTTTGCTAACATTCATGCATACTCTATGCAGATAGAAGGAGCATTTCTACAGGGTCTTGGATGGGTAGCATTGGAAGAGCTGAAGTGGGGCGATAAAGCACACAAGTGGATTCCACCTGGGTGCTTACTCACATGTGGACCTGGAAATTACAAGCTTCCGTCTTTGAATGATATGCCGTTCAAATTTAATGTCTCTCTTCTGAAAGTAAGTCTCACCACTATCTCCTCCTTGATATTTAGGTGTCTCTAGATATTCATTGTTTGCTGAGTACTTGTAAGCCATTTTCTTATTTGTTAGTAAATTGTATTCCATAAAATTTGGTTCAGCATACAGCTGATAGGTACCATGTCTTGAACTGCTTATATCTTGACAATCTGCTTGACATTTGACAACAGAATGCTCCAAACACCAAGGCTATCCATTCATCTAAAGCAGTTGGGGAACCACCCTTCTTTCTTGCCTCAGCTGTCTTTTTCGCCATCAAGAACGCCATAAAATCTGCAAGGATGGAAGCTGGTTACAACGACTGGTTCCCTCTTGATAATCCAGCCACTCCAGAGCGTATTCGAATGGCTTGCACTGATGAATTTACAAAATTACTTGTGAATTCTGATTTTCGGCCAAAGCTAAGTGTTTGATGGTTGTACTATATACTGAATAGGTTAAGCGTTAGAGCTTCATATGATACCTTCTCTACATTTTTCATGTAACATGTTAAATGAGAATGTATTCTTGAAATATAATACCTATTTAAACTCTATTAATTCAAATAAATAAAACTTGTTTTTTCTTTTAATACTTGTTTGTTTTTCCTTATTTAAAACCTTTACAAAACTGATAGGGAAAATACATAAAAATCCCCCTGAATTTGGCACAAAAACTTACTTTAGTACTTAAACTACACGGGTGTTTATATACCCCCCTTAACATCTTTTATGTGAATTATTTTCAACCCTCCGAACATCAGCCCAGTTGAAGGCTGGGCATTGTTACACACACGCGTTTTCATTGGTCCACGTCGCAAAGGGTTTTAAAAATATCTTACCCGTTTTTATAACCCACCCGTTTCCAAAATACAACCCGACCCATTTTTAAACAAATATCCCTAAATCTCTCTCAAGTCTAAAGACCTAATATGAGAATAACAAGTCATTAGCGTGAAGGATTTGCTGAGTTTAGGATTTTCGTGAAGAAACAAAGGATTTGCGTGAAGAAACAAAGTTACCAGGTTAGTAATCTTCGTTTAGATGATTGTAACATTTGACCGAGTTTAGGATTTTCATAAAGCTTAGTTTTTTTTTATCTTTTCAGTTTGACGATGGATGTGTACATTACCTTAAGGTTTCACCATGGTGGAAAACTACAACAAAAACCTCATATTAAGTATGAAGGAGGTATTGTCATTGATTGTTTTGATGTAGATGTTGATAAATTGTCCTAATTTGAATTTGTTGATATAGTTAAAGATATTGGCTATAATTGTTCTGCTTGTGTTGTTTATATTAAACCACATAAATGTCGATGTGTTGTTGAAGTTAAAAGTGATAGGGATATTATGGGTATTGTACATGAATTAAAAAATGGAGATATTGTTGAACTTTATGTGACTCATTTAGTTGAAGAAGTTGTTGTCCCCCCCCCGAAATCGGATATCTAAATGATGTGGGTGGGGAATCTAATACTACTTTTGATAAGGAATCTAGTCAAACTTTTGAGGGTAGTGAAGGTTTAGGATTTGAAGAGACTGCACAACCTGCATAACCTGAAGAACCTATTGTGGGTGAAAAGTTGGGTGAAGTGTTGGGTAGGACTTTTACTAGTGTTGGAGAGGACTTGGGTAGGGCTTCTGCTGGTGTTGGAGAGGACTTGGGTAGGGCTTCTATTAGTGTTGTAGAAGACTTGGGTGGTACTTCTTCTGCTGCTGCTGTATCTGATATTCCAGAAGTTGGGTCTGATTGAGAAAGTGAAACGAAGCAAGTGATGATTCAGACAATGCAGATTTGTCTGATGAAGGAGAAGATGAGTATGGTAGTGATGTTCATGAGGAGGTTATAAATCTTAGGAAAGAGAAAAGGGCTGCTACAATAAAAAAAAGAGAAAAGAAAAGGGCCCTAGATCTGAAGGAGTTGATTAAGGAAAAAAAGGAGTTGATTTGGGATATGATGAATATTTATCCAAGAAACAAACTACTTTTGAGGATAAGATAGCTGGAGATGAGCCTTACTTTGATTCAGATGAAGCTGTTAGTTTTGAAATAGATACTGATGAAGATGTTAATGAGGAAGATGAGGTTGAACAACCTATAAGAAGACAAAGAAAAGCAAGAAGAGCAAAACAAAATAAAAAGACCGTCAGTTAATAGTTTGGGAGACTGGTCTTACTTTTGAAAGTGTTAAGCAGTTTAGAGAAGCTATTACTAGATATGCAGTTCAAGAACATGTTGAATTAGATAAATATGTTAATGATGCAACTAGGGTAAGGGTAAAGTGTACAACTGGTTGTCCATGGTTGTTGTTTGGAAGTATTGATTCAATAACATGAGATTTTGTGGTGAAGAATTATAATCCAGTACATAAATGCAATGGCACAACCAAAAATAAATTGGTGAATTCAAAGTACTTATCAGAAAGGTACAAGGACATAATTATTTCTGAGCCTGGCATTAGAGTTTTTCAGTTTCAAATTTTAGTGAAGAAAGAGTTGAATGTGTATGTAGGGAGGACTGTAGCAAGGAAAGCTAGAAACATTGTCTTGAAACAAATTATGGATGATCATGTGGAGGAGTTTAAAATTTAGATTATAGAGATGAGCTCTTAAAGACTAATCCAGGCAGCACATGTATGGTGAGACTTAGTGAAGAAACTTTTGAAGGTGGCAGAAAAATGTTTCAATCATTTTACATATGCTTTGATGCTTTAAATAAGGCATTCAAAGCTGGAGCTAGAAGATATATAGGATTTGATGGTTGCTTCTTGAAAGGTGTTTCTAGAGGTCAATTACTTGTGGTTGTTTGTAAGGATGAGAACAACCAAATGCTACCACTAGCATGGGCAGTTGTTGAGGTTGAAAACACATTCACTTGGAAATGGTTTATCAAGCTTGTAAGACATCATCTTGAGCTAGGAGATGGAACATAATTGACAACCATTACTGATATGCAGAAGGTATTTTTGTTTTCTTTTTCATTTATTCATTTATTTTCTTTTTAATTTATTCATTAAGTTAGATCTCATGTTATTCTAAATGTTGTTGTTTAAAGGGTCTTGACAAAGCTATTCAAGATCTTCTGCCAAATGCAGAACAAAAAATGTGTGCAAGACATGTTCCAGCCAACTGGTCTAAGAATTGAAAAGGCATTGAAAGAAGAAATTGTTTTTGGAGATGTGCCAAATCTACATATGAACAAGAATTGAAAAGAAATTTGGATCATATGGAGAAGTTAGGCACTGGAATATGTGATGACTTATTGTGGTACAATATAGAGAGGTGGTCTAAATTATACTTTAAGTTTTTCAGCTGTTGTGATAGTGTTGACAACAACATGGCTGAAAGCTTTAATTCATGGATTTTGGTGCCAAGACACAAAACTATCATCACAATGCTTGAAGAAATAAGGATCAAAGTGATGAGAAGAATAGGACAATTGAGGGAGTTCTGTGATACTTGAATAACAAACATATCTCCAATGACCCTAAAGGTATTGACAGAGAACACAACAAAGTCAATGAAGTGTAACCTTGAATGGAATGGCGAATATGATTTTGAGGTTAAAGACAGCTGGGATAACACATTTGTTGTGAATCTAGGCAATTAAACATGTACTTGTAGATCTTGGATGCTAAGAGGTATTATAGCTGCACTTTATTTTAGAAAATTGGAGCCTATTAACTATGTTGCACATTGGTATAGCAAGGAGACTTATCTCAAGGTCTATAGTCATTACATTTAACCAGTTACTAACATGAAAATGTGGCCACAGTCGGCCAACTCTTCTGTTATACCACATGTTATAAAAACACTACCAGGAAGGCCTAGAAATGTAGGAGAAAGGAGCAGAATGAAAACAAAACAGGAAAATTATCCAAGAGAGGTGTTTAGATGACCTGCAGTCTTTGTCATGCAAATGGTCATAATAAGAGGGGTTGTCATTTGAATAATCAAGCTAATGCAAGCAAAGGAAGAGGAATGGAGAGAGGATGTGAGCCTAGTTCAACAAGGTCAAGTGTTGGTTCTTCTAGAGCACCAACTGAATCACAATCAAGCACAAAGAGAGGAAGAGGTCGACCAAGAGGTTCTACAAAACAGGTAATGTTTATAGTAATTCATTTAGTTGTTAATTTACATCTTAATCAGTCTAATATTTTTGTTGATCAACTTATGTTATAGGCTAGTGCTACTGGAAGGGGAAGAGGAACTGCAACTGGTAATGGAACAGGGATTGGTGTTGCTGCTGATAGTTCTGGTGCCACTGGAAGGGGAAAAAGAACTGGAACTGGTTTAGCTAGAAGGGAACTGGTGTAGCTGTTATTGCTACTGATGTTCCTGGTGCTACTGGAGGAGGGAAGAGGCCAAGAATGGTTGGAATGGGGATACTACATACACAGAGTGGTTTTACAATCCACAATGTAAGTTGTCTTAATTATTTACACAGTTTTTAATTTTAACTTATGAAGCATCTAAGATAACATATTTTTATGAATCTAGCCTGGAATGCCTATGAACTCTTCAATAGTGACTGGAAATCTTGGGCATCATAAACCAAGATCAGGCTTAAAATGGAAAGGAAAGGCTGCTGTAACTCAACAAGGTCTTCAAGAGATGAGAGAAAACAAAAGAATGAGAACAAGGTCCAATGCTGCTGAAGTTTGATATGAAGACTACTTTAGTTTGATATTTTAGTTGTTTTTGGAATAATTATGCAGCTGTGACTGCATTAGTTTGATCTGTTTGTTTTTGAAACAATTATGTTGCAGCTGTGACTACATTAGTTTGATCTATGTTTGTTTTTGAAACAATTATGCAGTTGTGACTGCATTAGTTTGATATTTTAGTTGTCTCTTTTTGAAACAATTATGCAGCCAGTTTTGCATTACTTTTATGTGTACAATTATGCAATTGTGACTGCAATTTAGCGAATGCAGTTATAAATAAAACACAAACAAATACACAAACCACCAAATTACATTAAGAGAATAAGAAGAACTCATTACAAAAGAGTCTTGCACCTAATTGGTTACAACATAAACAATGCTACACTACACCAACATTGATCTCACTACATCAACAACTTAAGGTAACTTCATTGAACCTTTCTTCATATATATCACCCAGAACCAATAGCTTATAGCTATAACCACAACATAACAACAAGCTACAACAAAAAAGAGCACATTCTGCCATGTACTTCTCCATTTATTCTGCATCACTTTCATCTTCTCAACCTCTTCTTGCAACATTTTCAATTCCATACCTAGACAATCATCTTGTTTGAAATCTCCCGGCTTGTCAACTTCTTCAGTAACCTCAACCAATTCAAATGCAGTGGCTGAGGTTTGAGAGGATTCTACTATATTCTCAAGCTCACCCAATTTCTGTATTAGTTTAGGAATCACAAATTTCGACCTTGGATCAATATTTTCTTTATCCTTCCAACACCAAAAGTTGCAAGATCTAGGGCCCTTCAATACTGAAAATGGATGAAGGAATTAATGGTTAATCAAATTCTTAATCGGCTAAAAAAATTTAAACAAAAATGATCTTTACCCCATAATAAGGACATGACCAATATCTTCTTCCGGGGTTATTTGAAGTCCAAGATGTTTTCAAACGCACCACAAGTCCATGATTACAATAAACTTTTTTCTTCGTAGTATAATCATCTTCTTCCATACAAAGATTTGTCAAATTAATTGATCGCATTGTGTGCTACAATTTTGTGCAAGAATTAACGAGAATTTGAAAAAAACAGAAAATAAGAAAAAGGGAGGAAAGAAAAATCAAAATAATAGATGAAGAAGAATAGGTTTGAATCTTACATTTTGAGGAACAGTTCCTTCAAAGATTCAACTTTTAGGTTTGAATCTTACATTTTGAAGAACAATTCCTTTAAACATTCAACTTTTAGGTTTGAAGAGCTAACATTTGAGAAAAATAATGAATTAGGTCACTATTTTTTGGATGATTGGGTTGGTGAGGGAGAAGAGGTATTTAGGGTTCTTCAAAAGTGAAGATTGTTCTTCAAATGGGTAATGGGTCGGATATTACCGTTGGAGAGGCAAATTTAATTTTAAAAAAATGTTAAAAGATGACTAATGCGCCGTTCTAAGTTGTAACAACATGCGCACAAGGTTGGTGTTCGGAGGGTTGAAAATAATTCACATAAAAGATGTTAAGGGGAGTATATAAACACCCGTGTAGTTTAAGTACTAAAGTAAATTTCCGTACCAAGTTCAGGGATTATTTTTTTTTAATGGTAATTGTGGTAGTCATTGAAAAAGGACAGGAAATATAATACCTATTTAAACTCTATTAATTCAAATAAATAAAACTTGTTTTTTCTTTTAATACTTATTTGTTTTTCCTTATTTAAAACCTTTACAAAACTGATATGGTAATTGTGGCAGTCATTGAAAAAGGACAGGAAAAGTCAAATTACTTTTAAATACCGAATTATTAATTTAAATTTCATGGGATTGTTAACCGACTCAATATAATTCCTATAAATAGGGATTTGGGGTTTTATTTTTCTTAGAGAAAGGCCAAACACAATTCATCAATTTTCATCATGGATGCAAAACGTCAAAAGTGTATGTTCTCACCTTTTTTTTTTAGGAAAAATTACAGAAATCCCACCTTTTAGTTTACTTATTACTATTATCACCTATAAGTTTTACAAATATTCAAAATCCCTCATTTTCGCGCATCAGATTAGTGTATCTCGCGCATCAATTAGTGTATCCCGCGCATCAGATTAATGTATCATATATAAAATGTACATCAGATTAGTGTATCATGTATAAAATGTTATGTATCTTACTTAACGATTAATGTATCTCGTGCATCAGATTAATGTATTAGCGCTTATATTATTGTATCCGTTTGAGGGATTTCTGTAATTATAAACTTTTAAGGGATAAACTATAATTTTACCTTAAAAATATGTGATTTCTGTAATTTGCCCTTTTTTTTACTAACAGATTAAAACGTCTATTTTTTATTTTTTTTGGATACACATGTTTATTTAGTGTTTGGTTTTGATAAATCTATGGGCATCGAATCGAACAAAGCAAATTATTATTCAAGATGAGACTTGACGTTTATTAGTGAAATTCTTTTTTTCCAGATCGTATTATCCTAATGGTTAATTGGAACGATACAATTGGTACGATTAAAACATACATTCAGGAGGAAAGGGGAATTGCTTTTAAGAAACAGAGAATTTTGAGCCAGGATGGTGAAGAAACATAGTGATTCTTTGTTAATTCTTCGATATGCACCGGTAATATCAGTGTTAAAGATCCATGGTTACTGATCAGTCGAACAATGTAAATTGTTATTCATGATGACACTTACAAAGATGTGATTGAATTTCTTTCAGTATCAAAATCGAAATTAATTACCAGTATTAAGGATGAATGTATACAAAGTACCTTTCATTCGTAAGCGTACATGTTGTATGAGGATCAAGCCTGGTGATACAGTTGGAGAAAAAAGGCTGGTATTTCTTTGAGGTTAACTTGCCGTGGACGAAGATTAGCACATCATGAACTCATGTTTGATATTTAGTATCTGTTTTTATTTCATTTAATTTAATATTTTGTTTTTATTTCATTTAATATAGTATTTTGGTATTCATATATATATATATATATATATATATATGACCTATTATTATGATTTAAGATTAATCTGTACATGGTTAGCTAATTGGTTGTATTCATATTCATATGTTCGATTGAATTAATAAGAGACGAGATGATCATCACCATATGTTTGACAATTGACAAGCACTGCATATATGTGTCCTCTTCAGTTTCTTAGTATGAAATGGAAAGTTGTTATGAACTGGTCTTTTTGTTCTTTTTAAGTGTGGAGTTTTGAAGATATTCACTATGAATTATAAAAACAATAGAATTGGAAAAGACGAAAGTATTTGTTATTTTATTCTTGAAGAAGTAGGTATACAATGACTAAATCCTATGTATTTATATTCTCCTTGACTAACTAACTTACCTAACTTTTGGGGTAACTACCTTCTAACTAACTTCTTGAAGTAGTCCTAACTAACTCTAAACACTCTCCTTCTTTTTAACTATCTCAGTACTCCCCTCAAGCTAGGTGGTGTAAAAATATTTAATACCCCTAGCTTGGACAGTAGATAGTCATGTTGTGGCCTGTTGAGACCCTTGGTTAGCAAATCAGCTTCTTGAAATAATGGTTTGCTTCTTAGCTTTCCAAGACACCACAGACTCTCCAAGTTTAATCACATAGCCAATCACAGACTTCCTTGTAAGAGGGCATGCTGCCCAGTCTGCATCACAATAAGCTGTAATTTCATTACTACACTTGCTAGATAGTAGTATACCTTGACCTAACTGTCTTTTAATGTATTTGACAACTCTAAGTGTTGCATCCATATGAGACTTCTTTGGTTGATGTAGGAACTGACTTAAAGTTTGAACACTAAAAGAAATGTCTGGTCTGGTCATGTTTAAATACAGCAGCTTCCCAATCAGTTTTTGATAGGCACTTTGATCTGTTAAAGGCTCATCTTGATTCTGTCCAGTTTTGATCATCATATTGCTTTGATATCAACTTTACATTTACATCTATAGGTGTTCCTGTAGTCTTTTCTCCTGATAAACCAACTTCAGAAATAAGTTGAAGTGCATACTTCCTTTGATGCATGACAACTCCACTGTTTGACCTTACAAACTCTATCCCAAGAAAGTATTTCAACTCTCCTAGATCTTTCATTTTAAAACTTTGTTGTAAGGACCTTTTTGTTTCCTTCACCAGCTTTAAACTACTTCCTGTTATTAAAATATCATCCACATAAACCAAGATTATCGTAGTTCCTTCAGTTGTCCTCCTTGTAAACAAATAGTGATCATACTGACTTTGCTTGAAATGCAGCTTCTGTAGACTTTCTGCAAACTTATGGTTCCATTGTCTTGGTGCTTGTTTAAGCCCATACAATGACTTTTCCAATCTGCATACCTTATTCATATTCTCCCCCTGATTGGAAAACCCTTGTGGCATAGATATATATATCTCATCCTCTAAATCACCTTTTAGAAATGCATTATATACATCGATTTGATGTTTATGCCAACTCTTGGACACAGCTAAGGCTAGAATGGTTCTTACTGTGACCATTTTTATTATAGGGGAAGAAGTTTCTTTACAATATATGCCCTCTTGCTGACTATATCCCTTAGCTACCAGCCTTGCTTTATACCTTTCTACTTCTCCAGTTGACTTGTACTTAATCTTATAGATCCATCTACATCCAATAGCAACCTTCCCTTTAGGCAACTCAACTAGTTTTCAAGTGTTGTTATCTTGTAATGCTTGTATTTCAGCTTGCATTGCTTCAATCCACTTAGGATCTTTACTAGCATCAGCAAAGGAAGTAAGTTCAGTTAGCACAGAAGTTGCAGCAACAAACTCTTGGTAAGACTTAGATAAGTGACTATATGAAACACACTCATCTATAGGATACTTCACCTGTTTTCCCATATTTAAGGACACAAAATTTTCATCCAAACTGGTGGATGAACTCCTCTAGTAGACCTTCTATTCACCACCGTCTAAGGATCATTAGACATACAATCCTGTCCTTGAACTGTTTCCTCCACTGTATCTTGTTCAATATTATCAGTCAAGTTTCTGTCTAATTCTGTATCACATTGAGTTTCTTGTACATACCTATGATTAACTCTGTTCTTGTCACTCATGTTATCATAACCTAACTTCT